TAAAATCAAGTAAGTTTCATCAGGTCTTTAATGTACTTGAGGCTTTTCTTTAACTACTTTGACTTCAAAAACTATGATGTACACCTATTTACTAAAAACAATTTAATAAACAGATATTAGCATATATTATATCTTCATTTCTGCATTTCTTTAAATGAGATGTACTGTATAGTCTTCATTATTTAAACTAGAGCTTAGACTAACAGTTTCAGTAAAGTAAGATTGTGAACACAAATTTTTTGCAACTTCTGCAAAACCTGAACTTGCATAACGAAAGTACTGATTGGGACCTACCATTCCACCTAATTTGCACTTAAGATAGTTTGAAAGCATCTTCTTGCCAAGATAATGTAAAATATGACAATGCAATGACAATTTTAACTAGAATAAAATCAGAATAGTTAACATGCTCGTATGGTACATCTTAAAATGCAATCCTTTGCAGTCCTGTTGTAAGAACCTAATGGAAATCCTAAAGTTTGTTACATAGATATTTCGGTTCTCTTTCTCTAGGAAGCAAGGTCACAATGACGGTTAAGTTACTTAGGTTGGTCCCAATAGATTGTTTAGCCCATTATATAATTGAACTTACAATATTAATATTAACCATAAGCCCTTCTAAACCAGTGATTAGAAGGAGTGGGTAACAGGACACTTGGGCTTTGGCATCAGCAGTTTCTGGTTGTAATGAGGAAGGGATGAGATCAGTGGAGGGGACTCTGACGGAAACTGCTTGCTCAGGCAGGGAATGCATCTGAGATGGGGGGTGCAGTGGTTGTATAATTTCTAAGTCTGCAATGGATGGTAAATGAATGTACCTTAAAAATACTCCGACTTGACATGTGTTTTTTGAAAGACTTATCACAGTAAATACAGCTCTTTAGTCAAACAAGCGGTTTATTAAAGTGGTTCAGTTACCATGGCAACATATCTGGAATTTATAGCTCTTTATTTTGAGAGGACTTCATTTCACTCTCTGAGGCACTGAAATCCAAGGCTAAAGTTCTTAATGGCCTCCATTAAGTCTCATTGTATGATGAATTTCTATTGTTTGGAAAATGTATACATACAAAATGTAGCAGACAAAATCAGTCCTATGAGTTTATAGTTGTGTGCATTAATTTTAAATAGGTACTTTTCAATTTGGAAATATCCCTGTTTAAATTTTTTATTATTAATTACCAAAGCTACATACGATACTAGTTTAATGAAGAAAAACAGCTATTTCAAAAATTAACAGTCTTCTAAACTTATTCCCCAGAGGCAACCACTTTCTGTTCTTTTAGCTGTTTTTTTGGTTTTGCGGTTCTTTTTTAATATTTACTTCAAATCCCTCAGGAACATGTTTATATTGCTTCTTGGTTTGTGTTACTGCTTACTTTGTGTCTTTAGCTGTCATCAGTTATTTGAGTGTATTTGAAAATGGCTTTATTCTATTTTTATACCTGATTTTTAATTTGTCTGGGTATAATTCTTAGTTAGAAATAATTTCCTCAGGTGCCTGGGTGGTTCAGTTGGTTAAGCATCTAACTCTTGAGTTTGGCTCAGGCCATGACCCCATGGTCATGAGATCAAGCCCCATATCTTGAGAGAAGCTTTGAATTCTCTTTTTCCCTCTTCCTATCCCCCTCTCCCTCTCGTGCCCTCACTCTGGAAGGAAAAAGAAAGAAGGAAGGAAGTGAGAGAGGGAGGGAGGGAGGAAGGAAGGAAGGAATCATTTTCTCTCAGAATTACTAGTACAGATGTTGAAAAATCCAATGCAGTTCAAATCTTTTTTTGTCTTAATTATTTTCTTCTCCTTCCTGGATGCTTAAAGAATTATTTCTTTGTTTCCAATGTTCTAATATTCATGATGATAGACCATGCTCTAAGTCCATTTTCATCCATGGATCCTCAGAGGACCTATCCCATTTTCCATTTTGGAAACCCCTGCCCTTCAGTTCTGTAAAACTTTTTTTTTAATTTCTCTGATTATTTTCTTTCCTCTGTTTTCTCTGTTGTTTCTAGAAATTTCATTATTCATGTATTGCCCTCTTGGTTTAGTCCTCTTAATTTTCTTAAACTTTTATATTTACTCGGTTATTTTTTATCTACTTCCTGGAAGATTTTCTCAGCTTCATAATCAGTGAATTTTTAACTTCTACTATTCGATTTTTAATATCCAAGAGTACTTCCGTCCCTTTCCCTCTTAGTCATTCCTTTTTTGTAGCATCCTATTGTCTTATAAATGTAATCTAGTTACACTGACTGAAAACTGTACACGGATATGGCTATAGACTCTGGCCTTCAATAAAGGATGATCTGACTGGATGTCTTGTTAAGGAACCCTCAATATTAGAATCTTTATCTTTTCCTTTTGACTTGTCAGATTCCCTAGAATATAATCAATCTATGTGATTCTGTTCTCCGGTGTAGAAGACATGGGCCTCTTTGTCTTTTTGAAGACATGGAAGAAGAAGGCTGAGGGAGAAGGACAGATCTCCACATTTATTATGTAACTTTTATTTAATCCCTTTGATTTTTGTAGACTAGCCTACCATCAGTGTGGGATTCCTTTATCCATATACCTTCTGTTTTATGTTCTCCAGAAGATAAATCTCTTGCTTTCTGCCAGAGTAGGTTGGAGAAGTACTTATTGTGTGGAATAGGTACTGAGAAGATCTAGATCAGTGCTGGGACATAATCAACTACTTAAATATTCTTTTCACCAATCTTCCTGTGTAGCCACACCCTCAACCTCACTTCCCTTAGCACCATTTCCTAAGCCTTTTTTACATTATTCTAAACCGCTTGCTTCTCAACTTTACATACTTCCACCTTGGGAGCTGTCAGGTTGGCTAATCAGTTACTAAGCATCTGTCTGCTTTTTAGCTTCCAAAGTTTTGTCACTATTGATTCCTCTCAGTTCTCTCTGTGCTTTGCTATCTTTTAAATACAGCATTGAGGGGTGCCTGGGTGGCTTAGTTGGTTGAGCATCAGGTTCTTGATTTCGGCTCAGGTCATGATAGTGTAGTTCTTGAGATTGAGCCCCATGTCCAGGCTCTGCACTGACAGCTCGGAGCCTATTTGGGATTCTCTCCTCCCTCTCTCTCTCTGCCCCTCCCCTGCTCACACTGTATCTCTTTCAAAATAAATAAATAAACATTAAATAAATGAATACACACATACAGCATTTAGAAGGAGTCTAGGTTCAATATGTTCAGCCTACTCTCTTTTCCCAAAATTCAGGTTTTTTTTAAGTTTATTTATTTTGAGAGAGAGAGAGCACATGCTTGAGCAGGGGAGGGGCAAAGAGAGAATCACAAGCAGACTCTACCCTGTCAGCACAGAGCCAGACTAAGGGTTCAAACTTAAAAATTGTGGGACCACTCAGTCCTGGGCCAACGGACTGAGTGATCTAACTAGTTTTTAATAGTTAAGAGACTATATTTGTGTTTTAGATTAAATTGATGCTTTAAATTTAATTCCTATTTAATTCATCTCACATTGATTTCTCATTCTTAATAGGTAACCTGTCCTCAAGTTAACTAAGAAAAGTCTTTTTAGGGACACCTGGGTGGCTCAGTCTGTTACTCATCCATCTCTTGATCTCACCTCAGGTCATGATCTCACTGTTCATGTATTTGATCCCCACATCGGGCTCCTTGCTGATAGTGTTGAGCCTGCTTGGGATTCTTTCTTACCTGTTCTCTATCTCTACCCCTAAGCCCCACCCACCACTGGCATGCTCTTACTCACTCTCTTCTCTCTCAAAATAAATGAATAAACTTAAAAAAAGAAAAGGAAAATCTTTTTAATCTGAGCTTTCTTGATTTTCTCCTTTCTGTCTCACTTTCTCCATATGTCCTGTGCTCTAGACCTCCCTCCTGTTATCTTCATACTGTCACTCCAGCCTCTTCTACCACCTTCTCCATCTTGGAGACAAACTTAGATCCCCTCATTCTCCATTTCTTTTAGTTATCTACACCTTAAATGTCCTGTTTCTAAACCTACCTAAGCTTCTTAGTTAAAAAAAAAACAAATGAATCAATTTTCCTTAACTCTTATGTTCCAGTACCAGCTTTCTTAATTTTTAGTCTTCTCTTTAAAAAAAAAAAAAAAGTGCTATTCATTCTTTACCTCCTTAACCCTATTCCACATAGTCTTTTATATGAGCTTTTTTTTTTTTAAATAGTTTTATTTATTTCTAGGAGAGAGAGAGAGAGACAGCGTGAGCAGGGGAGGGTCAGAGAGAGAGGGAGACACAGACTCTGAAACAGGCTCCAGGCTCTGCGCTGGCAGTCAGCACAGAGCCCGACGCGGGGCTCGAACCCACGAACCGCGAGATCGTGACCTAAGTGAAAGTCGGACGCTTAACCAACTAAGCCACCCAGGCGCCCCTATTTGAGCTTTTTTTGAAAATGATCTTCTAGGGGTGCCTGGGTGGCTCAGTCGGTTGATCATCCAACTTCGGCTCAGGTCATGATCTTGCAGTTCGTGAGTTCGAGTCCCACGTTGGGCTCTGTGCTGACACCTACCTCAGAGCCTGGCGTCTGCTTCAGATTCTGTATCTCCCTCTCTCTCTGACCCTCCCCTGCTCACGCTGTCTTTTTCTCTCTCTCTTTCAGAAATAAATAAACATTAAAAAAATTTTTTTAAAGAAAGAAAGAAAACGATCTTCTAAACAAAATCACCAACCCCTTTTTGGTCATAGCCTACTTGACTACGTATTTTCCACTGAAATTTTTTCTTCTCATTCTTGCCTTGTTATTGTTTTACTTCTCAAGGTGATTTTTGTTTGTTTGTTTTTATTCCCTCTCTCGTGTCCCTTTTTCCCTTTTCCCCTTAGATGTGGGCCTCTCTTTCCTTAGGCTACCTAGAGAACAAAGCAGTTAAAAGTTCATTGAAACTTACTGACTTCTGAAAAGGTTTTCGTGATTTATGAAAGAAAAGAATATGTGACATGATTTTTTAAATAAATATCTGTATGACATTAATGAAGTTTAACTTTTAATATTTAGGCAGGTGCTGTAAAGGACTATATTAAGATGATGCTTCAGAATGATTCACTTAAATTTCTGGTGTTTGCTCACCACTTAAGCATGCTCCAAGCTTGCACAGAAGCAGTCATAGAAAACAAGGTAGGTATCATTTTTCTATAAAACACTTTTTAGGATGCAGATTTTTTAATATAATAGACATCAATTGTAGTCTTGTAATTGAGGTTTTTGTGGCCTTGTTTAAATTGTGGTATATTATTATTAGATTTTCTTCATGCAAATATACTCATATTACTATTATATTGATGATATGCTATTAAACTTTTTCTTTTCTTCCAGGCTTATAATTTTCCACTAATCTGATTATCTGGGCTGATTAAAATATGCTGACTTGATAGTCTGTGTTGTGAATTTCAGTATTGTTACTGGATGTACTATTTGAGACTGATGTAGACAGTTAAAAATTAAAAGTTTTATTTACCCACAAGGCAACTCTAGAATGTGGGTGTTGTTGAGGGGAAACAAAATGAATTCAGCCAATTTTAGTGCCCAACTGCAGTCATACCTTGTAAACTTTAAACAGAGTATGTTGCCTAGAAGATGTAGTACAGGGGAATTTGAAACATATGGCCCAGTACTCTACCAGGTTAGCTCTCCAAACCTGCTAGCCTTAACTGCCTTTTCTTAGGTTCACCCAGTTCCCCAACAGGCTTATCAGAGACCTCATCTGCCACTTTTTTTTCAGAGCTTAAATGTCATCTCTATTTATGTGGTGAGGGCTTTTGGAGATGCTCAGAAATAGCCAGAAGAAATTTCCTGACAAATTGTGTGAACTTAATATATGTGGAGTGGCAGAACCACTTGCCTTTGTAGGTAGATGTTTTACATGGAGGAATTAAGCTATGTTTTTTAAAATTGTATACATATTATGAGCATTTGACACCTATGTTTATTAACATTAGCAAAGAAGTAATTCTAGTGTTTCCTTCATAGAAAGATTTATGATAATATATAATAAAGTACTATCCATGAAAAGGTGCTCTCACATTGAGTACCATATAGCATTTTTTTTAATATTGATTCCTTTTTAAAAAAAATTTTGCGGGGTGCCTGGGTGGTTCAGTGGTTGGACTGCCGACTTCAGCTCAGGTCATGATCTCACAGCTCGTGGGGCTCTGTCCTGACAGCTCAGAGCCTGGAGCCTGCTTCAGATTCTGGGTCTCCCTGTCTCTCTGCCCCTTCCCCACTCACATTCTTTCTCTGTCTTTCAAGAAAAAATAGACATTAAAAAACTTTTTAAAAAATATTTTTAATGTTCATTTTTGAGAGAGAAACAGAGACAGAGTGTGAGTAGGGGCACAGCAGAGAGAGAGAAACAGAGACACAGAATCTGAAGTAGGCTCTAGGCTCTGAGCTGTCATCACTGAGCCCCACACAGGGCTCAAACTCACAAACCACATGATCATGACCTGAGCCAAAGTCAGACGCTTATCTGACTGAGCCACCCAAGCGCCCCTCATATAGTAATTTTTTAATGCTGTTTATTTTTGAGAGAGAGTGCAAGTGGGGAAGGGGCAGAGAGAGAGAACGACAGGATCTGAAGCGGCCTCACCCTGATGGCAGAGAGCCCAATGTGGGCCTTGAACTCACTAACCATGAGATCATGACCTGAACTCAAGTCAGACACTTAACCATCTGAGCCACCCAGGTGCCTCTAATTATCATATAGTATTTTTAAAACACCTTTTGAGGAAGAGTTAATTAATCTTAGAAATATTTTTAAATGACTGGGCAATAAAATTAGAGTCAGAATTTTTCTTATTCTGATTCCATTAAACTTAAAACCTTAAAACCGCTGGGATCTATTCTAAGCATGGCAGTCTGTCTCTTCTCTTTACTTCTGCTTTACTGATGTGTTTAGAATCCCATTTTACATTACTTACATTTAAAAATGATAGGTAGTCATTAGCTGGAGGTGAATTTCTCCCAAACTCCCTGTAGCCTGACGATGTGTATTTTCTTTAAAAGGGCCATCAGAAGATCTCTCTCATTGGATATTAAATTGATCACTTATGAATTTATATGTTTGTGAAGACATACAAAGTTAATATGGGACATTCTATTTAATAATTGACTATTTCCTTGTGAAAGTGAATATTTATATGTCTCAACTATTTAAGGCTGAGTTTTCCATAAAAGTGCTTATACAAATGAGACTACTATTTGAAATTCAGGACTTCTACTGAATTTTGGAAAGTTGAATAATGAGTTGTTTTTAGATACTCACAAACAGATTGCTCCCTTTTCCCAACCCAAATCATTCCTAAAAGACAGCACTGTTCAATTTAGCACCTAATGTTTCCCTACTTTTTAAAAAGTATTTGTGAAGAGGCGCCTGGGTGGCTCAGTCGGTTGGGCGGCCAACTTCAGCTTAGGTCATGATCTCAGTTTGTGGGTTCGAGCCCCACGTCGGGCTCGGTGCTGATAGCTCAGAGCCTGGAGCCTGCTTGGGATTCTGTGTCTCCCTCTCTCTCTGACCCTCCCCGGCTCACACTGTCTCTCTCTCAGAAATAAATAAAGCATTTTAAAAAATTTTTAAAAATATGTGCGTGAATTTCTTGGTTCCCCAACTCAGTGGAGATGACCTTATCACATATTTCTTTTAACTTTAGGAATGTGAGAAAAAAATGCGTTCAAATGGTACACTAAAAAAGATACTCTCCCAGTTAGTATTGAGATACTTCAGAAATAAATGCACTATTCTTCATTAATAATGTGGGTAAAATCCTCTTTCTCCCTTCTCCCCTGTCTGGCTTTATTTTTATTTTAGAATTAATGAACCTATAACTTTAAAGTTAGCCTTATTTGTCATTTGAAGTTTGCATGTGAATTTTCATAGAATTTTACTCAAGACATTAGCTCAGTGATGATTTATGGAGCCCTGTTTTATATAAGCTATTCACTTGGCATTGATTGTATGAAGATGAATTAGACACAGATTCTACCCTCAAGTAGATTAAAAGATTTAAAAATTTGGAATTGTTATAAGACGCATTAAGAAATTTGGTTAAGATTCTTCTTATGTAACATTTACTAACCTTTCATCTTAACCCATTTCTATTTTGTCATGTGAGCATAAGAATCAGGTATAAAATGTATAAAACGAGATGGGTGCTAATTTTGCCATTTCCCTTGTTGATACTAGACACGCTACATTAGGATAGATGGAAGTGTTCCGTCTTCAGAAAGAATACATCTAGTTAATCAATTTCAAAAAGATCCTGATACTCGCGTGGCTATCCTAAGCATTCAGGCTGCTGGCCAGGTAAGAAATTTTAGGTGTTAATTTGATAATGAAATGTCATTAAGATAATAAAAATGTCACTAATCATAATTTTAACTTTATATCAAGATAAAAGTGTAATAATGCTAGGAATTTACCCAAGGGATACAGAAATGCTGAGGCATAGGAGCACATGTACCCCAATGTTCATAGCAGCACTCTCCACAATAGCTAAAACATGGAAAGAGCCTAAGTGTCCATCAACAGAAGAATGGATCAAGAAGATGTGGTTTATCTATACCATGGAATACTACACGGCAATGAGAAACAATGAAATCTGGCCATGTGTAGCAACATGGATGGACCTTGAGGGTGTTATGCTGAGCGAAATAAGTCAGGCAGAGAAGGACAAATACCATATGTTTGCACGTATAGGAGGATTAGGAGGAACTTGACGGAGGACCAAGGGAGAGAAGAAGGGTGGAAATGGTGGGGGAAAGGGAGAGAGGCAAACCATGAGAGACTCTTGAATGCTGACAAAAACTGAGGACTGATGGATGTGGGGGGGAGGGGGGGATGGGCATGAAGGAGGGCACTTTGGGGATGAGCACTGAGTGATATGTAGAAACTAATTTGACAATAAACTATTTGTAAAAAAAAAAAAAAAAAAAGATAAAAGTGTAATAAATATTCTACTTTGGAGAATATTTGACAGAGACCTCAACACTTTTGATTCAAAGCTCCTAAATTTCCAAGGAAAGAATTTCCTAGAAGAGTATAGGTAATTTGATTGCAATACTTTTCCATGACCTTTTTTTTTTTTTCTTACTTTGAATTTGCTAAGAATTCCCTTTCATTTCCTACAGCATTTATCTTACCTGATTGGTTCCACCAGAGCCTCTGAGGCAAGGTAGCCTGAGGGAAAAGAACTCTTCTGTCTGAGAACCATTTTATGGAAGGTCCCCGGTTTGACCCTTAAGATTGTGTTTGGCTACAAGTAAATGAGATTTGAGAATGACTCAAATACATAAAGTTTATTCCTTCATGTATACAGTCCCAGGTTTGCCTGGTGATTTCACAAAGTCCTTAGGACTTAGGCTTCTCCTAGCTTTCTGCTCTACTGCTCCCAGCAGGTAGCTTCCTTCAGGGAGCTGCTGGAGTTCCTCCACATATCTGTGATCCAGGCAGCTGACTGGAGAAAGGCACCCTGCAGCCCATTCACCTGCAGTTAGCCACATGGTTACAACTAACTTTAAGGAAAGAGGGAGAAAGTAGCCTTTGTTTCGTCTAATCACACTGTACATGAGGTGTTCTTTACAAAGAAAAAACCAAATGGCTCTTATGAAAGACAATGCCACCCCATGTAAGGGGGATCCTTCTGGACTTTTTTTCTACTAACATTCCACAATATTTTGATATAAATGTCTAAGCCAGGATACGTAACATAGGGAAAAGGAATTGAGCATATTGCTGTGCGTCCAACCTGGTAAATAGCATATCTGGCATCTTCTGTAGACTGTGGAATCGGAAACAGGACCAGAGTCCTGCTAATTGACGTCTATAAAATTGTATATGTAGAGAAGCTCCATAAGGATGAAGAAGTTCTAGAACTCACCAGGAGTTCTAACCAAAAGGAGGGTTGTCTCAACATTTCCCTCATGTTGGATTAAACTTCTAGTCATCTGATCTGAGTTTTATATCTGTTAGAATATTCTAGCCAGAAGGAATATTCTCAAAAAGAGCTTAAAAATGGAGTGCTCATAGCATGGGAGAAGAAAGGATGGAGGACGCCAAGCAGAAGGATTTTGGAGTGGCTTGATAAAAGACTTTTTGAAATTAAGATTGTAGAGAGCACCAGTATTTTTTTTTTTATTTTTTTCTTTTCCTGTGTTCCAAAAATGTTTTTATTTCTTTTTCTGTGAACTATAGTTCATTTTTTTTTTTACAAATAGTTTATTGTCAAATTAGTTTCTACATAACACTCAGTGCTCATCCCCAAAGTGCCCTCCTTCATGCCCATCCCCCCCTCCCCCCCACATCCATCAGTCCTCAGTTTTTGTCAGCATTCAAGAGTCTCTCATGGTTTGCCTCTCTCCCTTTCCCCCACCATTTCCGCCCTTCTTCTCCCCCTTGTTCCTCCGTCAAGTTCCTCCTAATCCTCCTATACGTGCAAACATATGATATTTGTCCTTCTCTGCCTTACTTATTTCGCTCAGCCTAACACCCTCAAGGTCCATCCATGTTGCTGCACATCGCCAGATTTCATTGTTTCTCATTGCCATGTAGTATTCCATGGTATAGATAAACCACATCTTCTTGATCCATTCATCTGTTGATGGACACTTAGGCTCTTTCCATGTTTTGGCTATTGTTGAGAGGAGAGCACCAGTATTTTATTCAAGGCTTTATTCCTGAAGACCTGCTATAATTCAAAATTCATATACCTGAATGCTTGTATGTCCCTAAGAGTAAAGGAAAGTAGAAAGGGCTCTGTTCTTTTTTTGTTTTGTTTTGAAAGGGCTCTGTTCTTAAGGCATGTGAATTCCATTATAGTTTAGTAGTATCTCAGAGGGACATAGGTCTTACCAGCATATTTCCCCTTTATTCTTATATGGTTTTATGATGCATAAAAGTGTCCATCCCTCTTTAAATACTCCTTATTCTTCAACATCATGTCTAACATTTTGTGGTGTTTCCTGTCCTAAATAACAGCACAGTTTAGCTTGATGGCTATTTGGTTCACCATGTTTTTATCACCTCTAACTTCTGTTCCTAAGTGATGGATCTTTAGTGAAATATTCAACTTGAGAACTCTCGCCACCATTTAATGAATGCTAGTTTGACATTGTTATGTGATATAAAAATATTTTAAGTTAGGTACCATAGCAGCACAGCATTTGCAAAAGTCATTCTCTAATGGAAGTTCCAGTGCATGTGAACAACACTATGGATTAAATGATTCTCTCAACGGATGGTAGGTATTTCTGTCAACCACCTAACATCCTTTACTACTAAGTGTCAACAACTTAAGTACAGCTCACATTTCACTCAGCCTTTCAACGTTAAATCACGGATTTTTGGACACATTCTTAGTTTGAGGAGATTTGTGTTATTTCTCATTTATTGATTATAAAACAAGACCTAATACTTATTAATGTCACACTGTTTCAGACTGATGTAAAATGCAATTGCACAAAAAATTCAATTATGTTACATATTGAGATACAAACCAGTAAACTCAAGGGTGTTTGAGATGTAGGAGAAATTTCATAGGAAGAGAACAGTGTGACTAGAGACATGATTTTCTTGCTTTATAGAACAACTACATGAATAGAGGAAGTCGTTGCTCTCTGCCTAGTTGCTATGGATACCATGTGTTAGAAATTATATTCTCGTTTATAATTCATTTTATTAGATTTTCCAATGATAATGTGAATCCAGCCCTCATCAGAGGATAAAATGATTTTGTTTATATATATATATATATCTGTCCAGCTGACTTTTGAAATATTGAAATACCTTTTCAATGTGTTTTTTGTAGTTTACCTAGCCATTTGCAATAAGCAGTTTTCATTTGCCTTTCCTGAATTAAATTTTCTTAATTTGGCTTAAAATGAAAGACTGACTTATTTTTAAGTCCTTCAGCTTTCTCTTGTTCGTTTAACATGTTCAGAAAGACTTTATTATATATGGCTGTATGTTACATTCTCAGTTTATTTGCATCTCAGTTTCTTCACTTTATTTTGCTTAGGGTTTGACATTTACTGCTGCAACTCATGTTGTCTTTGCTGAGTTGTATTGGGACCCTGGTCATATAAAACAAGCAGAAGACCGTGCTCACCGAATTGGACAGTGCAGTTCTGTGAATATTCACTACCTTGTTGCGAATGGGACTCTAGACACCCTTATGTGGGGAATGTTGAACCGAAAGGTAAAGCTTGAATTCAAGATTACCAGTGTACTCATTATTATGCAGAGCCTTTGTAAGTTAAGAGGCTGAGTTGTAGTGTTTTCAGACAAAGGATACCCAAGTACACTAAGATGATGATAGGAACCAGGTTTAGGAAGGCCTCAGTTAGTAGTACCTTCCCTCTCCTCTGTGATAAGGGAGAGACATGAACCATTCTTACTGTCTTCCATTCTGGAGGCCAAAAGAGGAAGAGCTAGCAAGGAACTATAACATTTTCAAACTTCAAGTCCTTTTTGTAAGCTAAGAATAAACCCTTACTCTGTTAGGCTGAGCGAAATAAGTCAGGCAGAGAAGGACAGATACCATATGTTTGCACATATAGGTGGATTAAGAGGAACTTAATGGAGGACCATGGGGGAGAAGAAGGGGGAAAATAGTGGGGGAGAGAGAGGGAGGCAAACCATGAGAGACTCTTGAATGTTGAGAACAAACTGAGGGCTGATGGGGGTGGTGGAGAGGGGAAGGGGGGTAATGGGCGTGGAGGAGGGCACTTGTGGGGATGAGCACTGGGTGTTATATGGAAACCATCTTGACAATAAACTATTAAAAAAAAAAAAAAAAGAATAAACCCTTACTCAGAAGGAGTGAGTTCTCAGCTAATTTTGGACAGAGGACAGCCTGTACCTGGACTCCAGAAAGAGCAGGAGGGACGTTGCTTGCTCTTTCCAAACAGCTGTCTTTTCTCCTCTCCAGCCTGTAGGGGTATTTTCAGAAAGGATCTGAGTAATTATTAGAGCATGTTTTTCAAGCGCTTAATATAGATATTCAAAATGGTCAATCATAGGTAGGTTCAATTTCAAAGTTTATAAATATCAGAATAAAAGTTTTTATGAGAAAAACAAATAGTATAACTTCTCTAGCTGGACATTTTCCTCATTAGGCATAGGAATCATTGACTTGGTAATTTGGTTGTAATTTTATTACGAAAGCCCAATGATAGGTGGAAACGATAAGAGTTTCTTTAGTGGATTACTCATGGTTTAAGTGCAAAATCACATTACTACTTAGCAAGGGTCAGCTAAGCTGTGAGAGAATTTTTGTAAAATTCTCATGCCTTTTCATCTTACAGACACAAGTTACAGGGAGCACACTGAATGGTCGGAAGGAACAACTTCAGGCTGAGGAAGGTGATAAGGAAAAATGGGATTTCCTGCAGTTTGCTGAAGCTTGGACTCCAAATGAAAGTTGTGAAGAGCTCAGGAATGAAATTTTGTTCACTCATGTAAGAGCATACGACAAATTCTTGTCTTTTTTTTTATTTTTTAATATCCTGAAACTATAACTTTGTCATATATTTCTTAAGTAGCCACTTTTAATTGTCTGTTGAAAGGAGCTTCCCCACAAAGCTGGAAAACCTCTTAGAACCCCAAAACAACACTGCAAGGCAGCTGCACCAGTGGCTCGTAGCTTCCAGCAGCTAGACCAGTGCTTCCTGTTCAGCCCCTCAGAAATGTAGCTCAGTAGAATCCAGCCTTCAGAAGAAAATGTCACTGGCTGTATTTATGAGCCTGAGGATGGGGAAAGATGTATTAACTTTGCCAGAGAGTGTAACACAAACAGGTCCTGTCAGTACAGACACCTGCATTACAGTGTCCAAAGTATCTAACAATTTATATGAGACTTTAATTAGTAAAACACAAATGAGCCAACAAAAACAGGTGAAGAATGTGAGCATTAGGAAGACCCTTGAATAGCCAATAAATGTGGAAAGGAGCTCTGCCTCACCAAAATAAGGCAAATTGTAAAGGTACGTTTTCCCTATACAATTAGTGAGTAATCTGTGATGTGGCACTTCGAGATCATGTGACTGTCTTGTTCCCAGAACCTTTTATCTGGTGGTCTTAGCATTCACTATGATCTTTGTCTGAATCAGTGGGTTTTTTTTTTTTTTACTTTTTTTAATGTTTATTTATTTTTGAGAGAGAAAGAGAGAGTGAGCGCATGAGTGCAAGCAGGGGAGGGGCAGAGAGAGCAGGAGACACAGACTCCAAAGCAGGCTCCAGGCTCTGAGCTGAAAGCAGAGAGCCCGATGCAGGGCTCAAACTCACAAACTGTGAGATCGTGACCTGATCTGAAGTTGGCTGCTTAACCGAATGAGCCACCCAGGCGCCCCTCTCTGAATCAGTTTTTAAGTAATGTTTTTTCCAATTCTATCTTTACTTCTAGATTTATTAGCTGACATTTTTCTGTAAAGTGTAAAAAAAATATGACCGTGAGCTTGGGAATTCTGTTGCTGTTAATGTGTTATGACCTTTTACTTTTTTTCTTTGTTTTTCTTAAGATCTGGTTTATGGAAACTCCTTTCTTTTTCTTTCTTTCATTTTTTTTAAACAAGTCCCTACATTTCTTTGACTGCTTCCTTGCTTTCTGACAAATAGTTTGAGATTGGCCTTGTATTTTTTTTGTCCCAGAACTAGAACTGGACATTTGTTTAGGGAGCCTTGATTCCTTTTGCTGGGAAATGATATTTAGAAATCAGGGTTTGTTTGTTTGTTTGTTTGTTTGTTGCTCCGAGATGTCATTACTTCTAGGCTCTTTTCTGTGTATACAGGGATTTACATACACATACATACATTTTGTCATGGATAGAGTAATATGTATGTATGTATATATGTGTGCATTTTTAGTTCATAACTTCACTCTGATACTCCAGTTCAAATCCAGCACCACCAGGTTCTTTTTCTCTTCCCACCTGTGCAAACGTAAGCATTTATGTTTCCCTTATCCAGCACGAAGAAGTCTGTTTCTTGACATCATCAGTGTATGTGCTCGGTGGCTCTGTCCTTCCTTATATGCAAAACAATTTTAAAATAACTACACTAATACCATACTTTACATCTGTTAGATTGGCAACAATGGAAATACTTAACATAACAAAAATGTCAGGAACATTTTATATATAAAACTTTCATATACTGCTGGTGAGTATAATTGTTTTAACCCCTTGGGAGAACATTCAGGTAATATCTGGTAAAGTTGAAATGCCCTTAACCCAAACCATTCCATTTCTAAGAATATCTTCTCACCCATGGGTAGAAGGATACATGTACAACAATGCTTATTGAATCAATTTTTGGAATGTTAAAGATTAGAAACAACCAAAATACCCATATGGGTATTTAGGTATTTTGGTTAACATGAATGAATTACATTTATGTCTCAACATGACCAGATTTTGAAAACATGTCATTTTTAAAATGCATAGTGCATACACACAAATAATATTGTGTATTTATGAATACATATGTATACATAATGAAATATACAAACACACATTGGAATAACCCATAATAAACTTGTAATATTGATTTTATCTAGAAGGAGGAGAATGAGTCTGGGGAAGAGTAAAAAATGTAATACCAACTTCAACAGAAATGTTTAATTTTTAAAAAAGAATAGGAATTTGGAGTACCTGGTACTCAGTCAGTTCAGCATCACCTCTAGGTTTCAGTTCAGGTCATGATCTCATGGTTCGTGTGTTCAAGCCCCGCTTGGGATTCTCTCTCTCTCCCTCTCTCTTTGCCCCTCCTCTGCTCACGTGCACTTTCTCTCTCTCTCAAAATAAATAAACTTTAAAAAAAAGAATAGAAGTTAAACATTACAGTATTACTGTTTGTAAATTTTGAATGGTGGGTACATTTCTGTATAATAATAAATACTATCAGAGAATATTTGAGAAGATTAAAATCATTCAAACTTTCTGCTTTTTCCTAGCGCCTTTGGTGCCTGATGGTGTGAAAGTTAGGGGGAGTTTAACATTTTTTATTTGAGTACAGTTGACGCACAATGTTACATTAGTTTCAGGTGTGCAGAATCGTGATTTGTAAAGTTTATGCATTATGTTATATTCACCGCAAGTGTAGCTACTGTCTGTCCCCATGCATTTCTATTACACTATCATGGACTGTGTTCCTTATGCTGTGCCTTTTATTCTTGTGACTTATTCATTCCATATAGGGGAGTTTAATTTTAATTCTTGAAAGAATTTAATATTTGAAAGGTATTATAGAAATAAAATTAAAGTCTGTTAAGTTTCGTTCCATAGGAAGAAACGGTGTTTTTTATGTGGAATCTTATTAAATTTTGTATATATTTCATTTACATGGCTAGTACATTTATTTTTTTTTGTAGAATACTAGAATGCCATGCTATCAAATATTGCTTAAAAATAGAAGGATTACTGGGGCGCCTGGGTGGCTTAGTCCGTTGAGCGTCCGACTTTCGCTTGGGTCATGATCTCGCGGTTCGTGGGTTCGTGCCCCGTGTCGGGCTCTGTGCTAACTGCCAGCTCAGAGCCTGGAGCCTGCTTCAGTCTGTGACTCCCTCTCTCTGACCCTCCCCTGCTCGCACTCTCTCTCTCTCTCCTAGAAATAAATAAAACATTAAAAATTTTTTAAAAAAATAGAAGGATTACTTCTAACACTTTTTTCTTTTGTTTAAAGAACTACTTTCCTTTTGGTAGTGTTTATATATTTTGGTCTATTAAAAATATCAGTAAATATTTAAAATCCTAGGTATTTTAAAAATATGTAACTAAAATTATGATTTGTAGCTGTTCTCTAAAATTTCCTCACTACTGAATTATGTTTAAGGGTTCATTTTTAAGATAAGTATTAAGAATTTAAAATGCATCTTCCCACGTATATACATGTTTATTGTTTTTAAATGTATTTGAATAAGAATATATATCTGTGTATGAAGTTTTTTAAAAATCACCCGGTCACCTTTACCAAATCTCACTTTCCTGAGCCAGGTGTTTTTCTTTTACACTTTAGTGTTACCTCCCACAGATTTTTCAGTGCATGTCACTTTTTAAATAGCATATTTTTATTTTTTTATTTTTTACTGAGGTATATATTCTGAGGTATGTAACATTTTAAAATGTTTCAGGTGATAGCATCATAGTTCAGTTTTTGTATGCAGTTAGTCTCCTTCATCCATTTCGATCATGCCCCAACTCCCTCCCCACCCTGATAACCACCAATGTGTTCTCTGTATGTACAAGTTTGGTTTAGTTTGGTTTGGTTTTTTAGACTCCATACATTAAGTGAAATCATATGGTATGTATCTTTGTCTGAAATATTTCACTTAGCATAATACCCTCAAGGTCCATTCATGTTGCAAATGATAAGAGTTCCTTTCTTATAGCTAAGTAGTAGTAGTAGTGTGTGTATACATACACACACACACCATATTTTCTTTATACATTCATTCATCAGTGGTTACTTAGGTTGCTTCCATATCTTGGCTACTGTAAATAATGCAGCAATGAATTTAGAGGTGCATATCTCTTCTCAAATTAGTGTTTTTGTTTCTTTGGATAAATGCCCAAAGGTGGACTATTTGGATCATGTGGTGGTTCTATTTTTAATTTTTTGAGGACCCTGCATACTGTCTTCCATAGTGGCTGCACCAATTTACATTTCCACACATTGTTCCTTTTTTTTTCCACATCTTCACCAACACTTAGAGTTTCTTATCTTTTTGATACTAGCTGTTCTATCTAGTGTGAGGTGATATTTCATTATGATTTTCATTTGTATTTCTCTGATAATTAGTGATATTGAACATCTTCTTATGTACCTCTTGCCATCTGCATGTCTTCTTTGGAAAAATAACTCTTCAAGTTTTCTGCCATTATTTGTTTTTCTGCTATTAATGTTTGAGCTTTTTTATATATTTTGGATATAAACCCCTTATTGGGTATATGGTTTACAAATATAGTCTCCTATTCAGTAGGTTGCCTTTTCATTTTGCTGAAGGTTTGCTTCACTGTGCAAAAGCTTTTCAGTTTGACATGGCCTCACTTATTTGTTTGCTTTTGTTGCCTTTGCTTTGGAGTCACATCCGAAAATTCAACTCCAAAACCAATGTCAAAGAGCTTACTGTGTATATTTTCTTATGGTTTTATGGTTTCAGGTCTTACATTAAAGTCTTTTTCAGTTTTGAGTTAATTTTTGTGTATGGTTTAATATAGTAGTCTACTTGCATTCTTTTACATGTGGCTATGCAGTTTTCCTAACACCATTTACTAGAGCTACTGTTCTCTTCCCATAGTATGTTCTTAGCTTCTTTGTCCTAAATTAATTGGCCATAGATTTGTGGATTTATTTCTGTGCTCTTTTCTGTTGCATTGATCTATGTGTCTGCTTTTATGCCAATACCATAGTGTCTTGATTACAGTAGTTTTATAGTATAGTTTGAAATCAGGGTGCCTGATAC